TATAACTAGATCTCTGATTGAAAAATAGTTTTCAACCGAGAAAAGTCGCTACTGGCGCGACATTCTAGGTAACCGTCAGGCTAAAGAGCTGGTACATCCCTACAGTTACGGTAAGGTGTTTTTTTTCAGCAGAACACAGTTGAAGTTACTGGTAGGACATTGAACGGATCACCATGAACTGCGTTATCCCCTTAACAAAATGGGTCTGTCCGAAGAAATAGACTATCGACTCTGCCTAGAAGCAGACGAGACTTCCAGTCACATTCTCTGTGAGTGCTCAGCCCTTCTCTCCTTCTGACATTAGGAGGGCCTCAACGGCGGATATTCTGGGTTTCATTCGAAAGGCGGAATCTCTTCTGTTCGGTTAGGGTCAGTTGTGGCACAAAATATCAACTATTTCTATAGCATCGTTTTTACCACTCTATAGTGCTACGTCAATTATAAATCTGATATAGTTGCACAAAGTACCCATCGCCATTGACCAGGCCTTAGAAAAAGAGTTTATATTGACGTGACTTATTTGTTACTCTTTGTCAGCTTTGGTATATTCTTACGCCATACTGATAACAAATAACATGCTAAGATCGCATCTTCGTTGTGCAATTTCTAACATAGACTGAAGTATTAACTATACAGTTGTAGACTATACATCCATATGGGTGCCAATATTTGTTCAGAAAGTAGTAATGCCATAAGATCACAATGGAGATTACAGTTTTTTACATAAATAGGTGAATTAACTAAACTTCGAAAATGTTTATTTTAAAAACGTTGAACTATGACAATGAATTTTTTGCTGGCACATCCCCGCATTTGTATACTATGAAAATATACCATTCTCATATGGATTTTAGGATTTGTTCAAAAAATAGAAATGTGTTGTGGATTCACAGTTTGATTATAGGTCAGCAATATTAATTATTTTGTTTAACCTTAAAGCAGATAAATTAAATAGGTGAATTGTAGTTTGACCACCCCTTTTTATAAACTTCGGAAATGCTGCAATAATAGATATTGAGCATACCATTATTAATTATTTCAGTAGGATGGAATATTGTTTTTTTTGTTTTCTATTTCTATTTTGGGGAAAGTGGTGCCACTATTTTTCATTTGAAGACCTAAACAAGGTGTAGAGTATTAAATAAAAACAGAACTCTAACTCATTTATAGTTTACTAAACTTCCGCCATTTATTTTTATTAATATATTCAATATTTTTCTATCGTTATTATTAACATACATATATATATGAATGTATATATATATATGAATGCGCCCCTATAAAGTAAAACATTAATTGCAATAGATTAAAACGAAGTAAATGGCTTTGATATTTATGTCTCCAATGTCAAGCAACATGTTGCTGACTAATGTTGCCTGACATTGTGAGTCAAGAGAATATATTTTGCTTGGATTTTCCCATAAATTGAGATAAACTATAATATATTATTCTTTATATGTGTGGAGTATTTAGCATAAAATGACGCATTTCTACAACGAATAATAATGAAGGAATAATTTTTTTTTAATTTTTTTTTTTTTGCAAATTTTAATTAATGTTTAGTTCTCAGCGTTTTAATGTTTTAAGTGCTTACGGTTTGCAGTGAGTAAACAGCTAATTCCAGTAAATTAACAATATCGAGGTCAATAAAAGTATTTATTCTAGTAGTAATGAAGGATGAGATTATTGTAGCTATGACAATTACAGAACGATTTTTTGATGATTAAATTTTTTAATTTAATTAATTTTTTGTGGTTTTAATAAGACGAACTCTAATTTTTTGATGCGAAAAAAATTGTATTTTCCAAGTCCTTTTACTTTGTTTAGTTATTTACATTGTGACCGAAAAGCTTTCGGAAATTCTCATTTAAAATTCGCGCGCTGTATATTCTTCGATATTTTAAGTTTATGTAGTTTGGCAGCAATTAAGGACAATTACTATGCCAAAAATGAGCGCGATCTGTCAGACAGTTCGTTTACGGCAGCTGTTTAAACCAGTTCACCTCAGTAGTGCGTTGCGAAAAAAACAATGGAAAAAAATATTGAACAAAGAGTTTGCATCAAATTTTGTGTTTCGAACGAAATTTCGTGTGCAGAATCTTTGCGAATGCTACAAAAGGCTTATGGGGAATCAGTTTTATCGAAAACTCAAGTTTATGAGTGGTACAAAGCCTTTCAGGACGGTCGTACGACCGTCGAAGACATGCCGCGTTCTGGACGACCTTCGACCTCTACCCCCGACGAAAACATTGAAAAGGCAAAGGAAATCGTGTTCCAAAATCCTCATGTGAGTGTTAGAGAGATAGCACGAGAGCTAGGCATCGGTCGTGAGATGGCTCGTTTGATTTTGGTGGAAAATTTGTGTATGCGACGTGTCAACGCTCGGCTTGTTCCGATTCACCTCAATTTGTTCCAACATTATCAACGATTTTAAGGCCAAACATTCAATAAATACCATCGAACAGCCACCGTATTCTCCTGATCTTGCACCGTGTGACTTTTTCCTGTTTCCCAA